GTATTACCACTAACCGTGCAGTACAATGTGTTATAAAAAAGGGAAATGCCAACAATTATAAAATATCCAACAAATGTAACTAATAAACATGAAGTCGCTAAGAAATTGTTTGTGGGATGCACTTCTTGCCGCTAACATCATCAGTACGTTTTCTCTTCCTCTATCTTGTTGTCCTTATCCCGGCTCTCACGATGTCGTTTCTTGTTGGTACCCTTACTCGAGGAAGGAGTCTACCCTACCCTAACTTCTACCCTAGAAACATAGCTTGCAAGCCTCTTCCCTGTTGGAACCGCATGATACGGTCTCTTCATCCTTGCCATTCCTGCTGCCATTGGTACACACAGTAATCAGAATTATCAATTCAGTGATAGAACATGAGATCAATAATGATTTTGTTAGTACCAATACAGTGATAGCCCTACAGACAAAAATATTACAACGAACTACCACCATAGTGATAGATCTACCATTTCAACGAGAGATCTACCATTGCAGTGATATATCTACCACTACAACGATAGACACACTATGTCATTGCAGTGATAGGTCTACCACTGCAGTGATAAATCTATCTCTGCAGCGATAGATTTACCACTGCAATGATAGATCTACCACTGCAGTGATAGACACATTATGTGGCTGAATCGAATTCAACCTATCAAGAAAGAAAACTACAACTGTCGTGATGTACTATACTGAAGGAGACCAATAAATATATGAATTGTGGTTGTTAAAGGAGAATTGCCTCACCTTAGGCAAATCCTGGCGTCACCACTATCGGATTATCGAAGCTCTTCCGCAGATACACGATTGTCGATGGGAAACGATCAAGCGTAGCAGAAAAAAAAAGACAAGCCAGGTTCGAAGTTGAGGGTTTGGGATGGAAGATGGAGGACAGCCGACGAGAGGAATGGGACGACCGTTGTTGTTAAGGAGAGGATGGGTTACGATAGGAGATAATGATTAGATGCGACGACGGAGAAGGGTTACAGCTGGGGACGGTTCTGGTAGAGATGGTGTGGGAGGGTTTATGGTTTCTAAAGAGAGAGAGAGAACGAGATGAAACAGTGACATAAAACTAAATTCCCATTTAACGCCCTAACTTTTTTAAATTTAACTCCCTAACCTTACCAAATAGACGATATTACCCCATCACTAAAACAACAGCACCCCAATCCCTAATTTTCCCCATCTCCCTTGATTGTTCCGCCCGTGGAAGAAGGAAAGAAAGAAAGAGCCCACGCCGGCCAATTCCCCGCCAACTGCTACTGCCGGAACTCGAGGAGGAAGAAGGCAATCAACGCCACCCACCTCCTCTGCCGTCGCACTGCCGCCGCCGCGAACTCGATGAGGAAAAAGGGATTCGACGACGCCCACCTCCTCTATCGCTGCTGCGAACTCGAGGTGGAGGAAGGGATTCGATGATGTCCACCTCCTATGTCGTCGCTCTGTCGCCGCCGTGAACTTGAGGTCGCCCACCTCTTTGTCCCCTCCAAATAATCAGATAGAGAAAGCCAAGTGTTTTTCCCGGAATCGAAACTGGAAGAGCGAAAAGAATCGAAGGTCAGAAAGTGATGGGAATTAAAGCTTGACCGAGAGGGGAAGAAGATGGAGAAGCCTATCTGCTGAGAGGGGGAAGAGAACACAGTTGCGACAGCGAACGACGGCAACTCCCAGGGCAAACGGCGGGGAGGGAGAAAAATTCGAGGGCGAGATTTGGTTAGAGATTAGAAATTGTTTTGGGGCAAAATCGTCAGATTACTTAGTTATTGCGACAAATTTAAAAAAGTTAGGGCGTTAATTAGTACCTCTAACATAAAAAGGGGACGGGATGGGATACGGTAACAACCCCTAAGGGGTTGTGAGATTGACAACCAAGGGTATTTTGGGTATGACAAAAAAAAAACGAATTTGTTAATTAATTTTTTATTAACTATAGATTGGAAATTAAAACCCCATATTAAATACATGTTTTTTAAAATTTTGAATCCTACAATAAATACAATTCTCTCTTTCTATCTCTCTCTTCCTTTTCAAGCAGCCACTCCACTCCGACCAGCAGTCTTTCTCCGGCAAGATCCTCGAATACGACTCGCTCTGGCCACCTGAAAAAAATTAGAACTCTGTCAGTACGTTAGTGGTACTTACCACTACCACTGGTACCACTACCATCTGGTACCGGGTAGTGGTAGTGTACCACTGCCTTCTGATACTTAGTAGTGGTAGCGTACCACTATCAATTGGTACCAATGTCATCTGGTACCTGGTAGTAGTACGATACCACTACCAGGTACCAGATGGCATTGGTACCAAATGATAGTGATAGCATACCACTACCAGCTACCACTCCATATAGTACCACTACCAGTAAAAAACCAGTACCACTACCACTAAAAAATAAGTACCACTAGAAAAAAACCAGATCTGAAAATCCAAAAATCATGGATATGAAAAACGAAGAGGAGGAGAGGAGAGGAGGCACAAAGAGGCAGAGGGACTCACACCGGAAGAGGTAAGGAGAGGAGGCTAGTGGCAGGGGTAATCGATGACCTCGCGGTAGAGACCTCGTGGCAGGGGCAGAGGGGGGTGACTTGCGGCAGGGGCGGAGAGCGCGCGAGACGGCAGCGAGAAGGGCGGAGGCAACGGTGTGAAGAGCCAAGGGGCAGCCGACAGGGGCGGAGGTGCTGCGGGACTGCGGTGGATGCGACGACGGGAGGAAGGCGGCGGCGGGAGAAAGGCGACGACGGTAGGAGGAGTTGACGAGATGGGAGGAAGAAGAAGAGGAGGAAGAAGAAAGAAGGAAGAACAGGCGTTGGTGGCGGCCGCAGAGAGAGAGAGAATGATATGAAAATCTTAATTAGGGTTTTTAGAGAGAGGAGAAGAATATTGAATTTAATATGGGTTGTAATCCCATGTGGTCATATTTTTTCGTCCAAAAATACCCTTGTACCAATCTCATCCATCAATTTAAAAAAGTATGAAAGAGAATGAATCTAATGGTGGATAAAGTGGGTTGTGAAAATAACAACCCTAAAAAGGGTTGTCACCGTATCTCACCCCAAAGGGGAAGGAGAAATGAATTTTAAATTATGTTTTGGAACTGCTTCTTTTCTTTTCCAATGTATGTTGGGATCATTAATTACAAATTACCAACTGTTAAATTCCTACCATTAGATTAATAGAAGTGAGAATGGACGGTAAAGAAGATGACTGTCGAAAATCAGACCCTTTTAAGGGGTAATCACGCACGCTAACCGATCCCATGTGTAGTGTTCCGCCAGAGCCACAGATTCGGTTGGAGTTTTACTTATCTCTTGTTTGTTTTCAATTTCTTCAATTTCAGATGCTACATGATGGGAGCGGGAGAGTTGAACTTTGCCCATCGCAAGTATTCTATTCTACTCTACTTTTACCCTTCCTTTCCGCCAACAAACTTCTATCCTTCCTTTCCCGCCAACAAACAATGCAAAAATTTCTATGGCTTCTTCTGGCCAGTACTCTTTCTTTGTCAAGCCGTGCTGCGAAACCTGGAGCCAGACCCAGATCAAGAAGTTCCATTGCCATATCCTGAAGACTTTATCCTATCTCGAGCCGTTCCTCTCCAACAAACTGATTAATGCGTATGGCTACCTGTGCAATCCATTGTACGCCCGCAACGTGTTCGATAAAATGGCCCAACCAAATCCTTTCTATTGAAACACCCTTCTTTCTGCTTACTCCAAGTCTGGTTACCTCTCAAGAATGCAAGACATATTTAGCAGAGATGGGGTCTCCTGGACTTCGCTTTCGGCCGGGTATGCGGCTCATCGGTCGGGTGCTGAAGCTATCGGGGTTTATAGCATGATGCTTAGGGAAGGATCTGTTAATTTGAATCGAATTACATTTTCCACCTTTCTAATGTTGTCGTCTAATGATGGACTAGTCGACTTGGGCAGGGCGATTCATGGCCATATTCTGAAATTTGGGTTCAAGGCTTGTGTAGTGGTTGGAAGTTCAATGGTCGATATGTATTCTAAAATAGGGTCGGTTCATGAGGCAGTGAAAGCATTCGATGAAATGCCCCAAAGGAATCTTGTAATGTATAAATACACTGATCACGGGACTTTTACGTCATGGTCTGGTGGAGGGTGCTAAGTATCTCTTTGACAGTATGAAGGAAAGAGATTCAATCACCTGGACGACAATGGTAACTGGTTTTGTACATAATGGATTAGACTGAGATGCCCTTAGTTTATTTCAGGAGGTGAGACTAGCCGGGTGGTGATGGATCAATATACTTTCGGTAGTGTGCTGACTACATGTGGAGGACTGAAGCTCCTTGAAGACGGAGGAGGACAACAAGTTCATGTTTTTATCATCAAGAATGATTATTAAGATAATGTCTTTGTGGGTAGTGCTCTGCTGGATATGTACTGCAAATGTAAAAAAAGTACAATACGCTGAAGCAGTTTATATGAGAATGCGGCACAGGAATGTTGTATCATGGACAACAATGCTGGTGGGCTATGGCCAGAATGGATATGTGCGGAAGCTATTAGGAGTTTCTCCGACATGCAGAAAAATGGGATTGAGCCTGATGATTTTACTTTCAGTAGCATGATCAGTTCATGTGCGAACTTGGCAGGCTTAGAAGAAGGAACTCAATTCCATGCACAAGCCCTAATGACTGGTTTGATTTCTTTTATTACTGTATCCAATGCACTCATTACACTGTATGGTAAATCCGAAAGTGTTGAGTATGCAGTCAGCTGTCGATGAGATGGTGTTCAGGGATGATGTTTCTTGGACTACATTGGTTTCAGGATGTGCACAATTTGAAAATGCTGATAAGACTATCCAATTATTTAAGAAGATGTTGGCCCAAGGCCTAAGACCCGATTCAGTTACATTCATTGGGGTTCTTTGAGCTTGTTGTAGAGCAGGACTAGTGGAAGCAGGGTGTCAGTATTTTGAATGCCCGTTTAGTTCTACATGATGTTGAGGAATCTGAGAAAATAAAGATGCTTGGCCACCATAGTGAGAGGTTGCCTATTGCCTTCGGATTGATATTCATTCCTCGTCATTGTCCTATAAGAGTAGTTAAAAATTTGAGGGTATGCAGGGATTCTGATAATGCTACTAAATACATCTCAAAGATAACTCAGAGGGCGATCCTTGTTAGAGGTGCGGTCAGGTTCCATTTGTTTGAGGATGGAGCTTGCTCTTGTCGGGACTTTTGGAGGGTTCTTTCATTATCCAAAATTGTGACTATATGTGTCACTTAACCTGGATTAAATTAGCCTTGCACAAGGAATTATCTTACTCCAAAAGGATCGTCAAAGTCATCATGGAGCAGTCCGTTCAGCTACAGATGGTGGTAAACCCTAACTTCTAATACCTCCCAGATTTGGTTTTTAGAACTCTTATTCCTTCCTCTTTTATACAGGAGGCTGTATTTAACTTTCTGGCTAGTGCTTAGTGGCATGGGTGGGTATAGCCAATGCAGTCAAAGTCTAGCTTCTAGGTAGAAGCAAAATAAATTGGAGATCAAAGATTCGTAAAAGGATAGGTCGAAAGGACAACTCGACTTGAAAAAAACTATGCCATTTTCTTCTTTTTTGGCCAGCAAAACCAACTTAATCACGATTTAAAAGCCTAAAATGCATTGTATCAAAACCCTAAAAAACGATTTAAAAGCCAGTCTCTAAGCCTTCTACTGCGCTTGAGTTGTTTTACTTGGGCTTTTGGTGCAAAAAAGTTTTAGAACAAAGATTACAATATTTGCAATGTTTAAAGCTTAAAAGCCTTTTTGAATGCATTGGATATAAAAAAAATGCATTTGCAGTAGAATGAAGTACAGAAACCTGTTTCGGGACTAGATGACAGTTTTATCAAATGAAACTCGCCATTTGTGTAAACCATTCTGTTCCACGTCCAAAATTTTGTATGATCAATTGGCAAGTCAGCAACACTGTCGTTTTTATTTCCATGTCTTTCTTGAACATCTTTGTCCTTTGATAAGATGCATATGGCATGTAGGAAAAGCTTTTTTGCAGAGTCTGAAATATTTTCTACGAATACCAAGAATAGGTAACAAATGAACTTTTTTCAGGTATAAGATCCAGGGAAAATAATAAAAGCAGTACATTATCCTATTCCTCGTTGTATAGGTGTCTTTGTAGGTAACGGTTCCTTAAAATTTCTGGGTGATTGTCTGAGAGGGTTCTTCCTGACTCAAAAATAATCGGAACAACAGTGCTAACTGAAACAACAAACCCGCAAAGGCTAGAAATATTACTATTTTTCAACCTCATGCAACAGTAATATATGAGGGGACCTTTGATTACATATGCAATAATTGATCGCATCAAGCATAGTCTTGTGAAGATTTGATTGACTCTCCTTGCTCTTGCTGCTGGTTCTGCATCAGGTTGGAAAAGAACAAGTTAAAGTGGAAGGCACATTGGATAACTATCTTCAACTTTATGGGAATCAAAAGAAAATGAAGATTACCTGCAACTCTCTGCAGATCTCAATTACTTCTGCCATAGGAGCCCAGTCACCAAAGTTCCTCTCAACAAACTGGTAAGCAATGCCAGACCTCTTCCTTCCTACTATGAAAAGTCCACCTTTGATCTCACCTTCTCCAGTGAAGTTTTGGTCCAATCCCAGGGATTTGGCCCGTCTGTAATTAGCAATTGCTCGAGGGTTGAAAAGAAAGCCTGATATGAACTTGTCCTTGAGCAGGTTTCCACCACCAAGAGCCTTGAAGAAGTCCATACCTCGATCGAAAAGTACAACACCACCCCAATACCGCGGCCAGAAGTCTTGTACCTTCACAACATCAATGTTACATTAGAGGAAGAACAGATGATAAACTAAACAAGTTCATTATTCGGTATGCACCTCCGACTCTATGTGCTCGTGGAGAACTGCATACAGTTGAACCCCCATTGCGTCAAATAAGGGTTTCCTAGCATAAAGCTGATGAGCTTCGGCTCTGCACATGATGCACCTGTCCTCAACAGAAATTGCACAAGGGGAATAATGTGAATACTACAACTATCATGGTAACATGGCATAATTGTCTACTGCCATTAGATTTGCATAGGTTCACTTCTTATCTAAACCATATGAACATTTGTGAATTGACTAGAACAACTGAAGCAACTTGCATTCAACAGAAGGTTATTCTTAAATGTTATGTTGACCCTTTAATTTGCTTACCCGGGTCGTCTGATACAGAGGATAACCGCTGGTTTGTCACGCCACAATTCTGAAGCCTTCATTGGAGGTCCCTTGGTTTTCAGCAAGCGCTCCATCCCAATCTTATACTCGGGAGTCAGCTTCTGAACAGTTATGTTTTCAATGGTTGCATAAGGAACAACCTGGTCCACTACCGGCGGAGCAGCTATGCAGCCACATGCTCGAGGCTCAGCGGGACCTGCAGAAATCACCCCTTTAAAGACGTGCCCATCTTTGATCTTGAAATCAGCCAGCGACTGTTCTATGGATTTGTCATAAGTCATCATGGTTGCTGCAGAATATCTTGATACGCTGGCCATCTTTCTTGAGGTGGTAGACCCAAAACTTTTGATAAGGCTGTCGCTTCTTGATGTTGTTGGAGGTTTTCTAATGGAGAAGACTTCTGATTTGTTGTTCACAGGTTCTGTACAAGCAGTGGTTCTGTCCAAGAAGCGAGCTACATGACCTCTTTTCATCCCATACTGTGATGCCAGATCGGCATTACTGATGGCAAGAAGTTCTGGCAAACCTTTCCCAGAGGCTTCTAGCCTGTCCCCATAGTTCATCAGAGCGCGATCATGCAGGTATGTTCTTATCTCAAAAGCATCCTAAAGAGCAAAGAGTTGAACAAAAATTTGAGGTTCAATTCATCAATTTGATCATTTTCAGAAAGATAATTACCTCTAGAATCGATTGAGTGTACCTTTTGTCTCCTTGTCAGGTTCATTTCATCCATGTCCTCAGCGTCCATAATTTTCAAAGTTGGCACATCATCCCATCCTTCTTCCAACAACTTGGGGAGCAGCTCTTTCAGAACTCCATTGCCTACAAAGTCTTCCATAGAAAAGGAAGCCATCTTCTTCTCCTTCTTCTTCTCTTAGGTAGAGTGGAGAAAGCAGCAAAGCTTGCTCTGGAAGGGCTCTGTGACGTTAGAAGCAATGCAATTTGTTACACAGATAAGAACAACAGCAACAACAGTAATGGAATAGATATATAGCTGGAGAGGTTGCTAAGAACCTTTGCCTCAGAAATGTCAATGGTGGAAACTTGAAACGGTCTCTTTCCTGGTTAAAAAATTATATCTTGTTGGATGACAGGTTCTTCCACCCACTACTCACTTAAGGTAAAAATACGCGTCATCCTTCCTGCTCTCCAGATTATATGTGCATAGATTGCAAGAGATCAGCTGGCCATGACTTGGTCTGGTCATTTTAGTTTTGATACAGTTAGTAGGTTAGTTTTACTTTCAACATCTGTCATATTTCTTTAAACCAAAACACCATAATAGCAGGTGGGGTTTTGTAGGGCCATATGGAACCAGGTTGGGGAAAGAGACAATGAAGAAGTCCTGCAGGCTGATCCTAAGTAGAAAGATAAAACAAATGCATTTTGAAAATATTATTGTTGCCAGAACTTGCCTCTGGCATTTGGCATTGTAGGGAAAGCATCTTGTATTTTGTTCCTTGTTCCTGTAAGGCATATTAGCTGTTGGAGGATTGTTTTCCCAGATGTACTAGCTAGGGAGAAAAATCAAACAACCAAGTGCAGATTGGGTTTGTGCAATGAAGATTTTCAGTCATATTTCCTAGAGAGTTTGCAGAACTAATTTATGTGCCAGACAGGTGGTTAATTACTACTGCTTCGTAATAATAACAAATGAATGAGTTTTGTGCGCATTGATATTGAATTCTATCATTCATGCCTGCCGGCAGATCTACCCTTGTCGTGGCTCTACATGCCATTAAGGTATCGGGTGTTACTGCCTGGTTGGTACTCAGCATCGTCACATGAATTTTCTTTTCTATTTCCCCCCTGACCCTATTATCTCTACCTCCGGAGGTCGACATATATCTGTGTTTTGGGCGGACTGCACACGAGCTAATACGTACATGTGTTTTGGGTGGACCATCCACTAGCTAATACGATAAGTTACAAGCAGGTGTACAAAATAATGGGTCAACCTAATACGAGCATGAATACTTTATAAGTCGTACAAAGTATAAATTTATGATGTGTGCACGGGAACAATATATTATTTAAATGGGTCGTATTAGAACTAATATTTTTTGGTTCATATAGGAAGCTTGATAGAGCCTTGGTAAATTTGGACTGGATTGAAAAGTTTAAAGACTGTGCTATGGAAGTGTTACCTGCTCATTTATCGGATCATTGTGGGGTGCAAGTAAGTACCACAACTCCGATTAAATCCATGCCCAAACCCTTTAAATATTTTGAATTATGGGTTGAACACCCGTTGTTTCTGGAGATTGTTGATAATGCTTGGAAGGTTAGAGGTATCTGGGAATCCACTGCAGATAATTCAGGGGAAACTAAGGGAAGTTAAAAAGGCATTAAAGAAGTTCAACAGGGAGGTATATGGGGATCTGCAGGACCAAGTAAAAGAGGCGGATGTTGTACTGCACATGGCACATATTGTTGCCTTTTCTAACCCTACATCAGAACATTTTGAGGCTGTTACACAGGGTAAAGAGCAGTATGAGCAAATATCTAGGGCCTATGAGTGCTTTTGTTGGCAAAAATCTAGAGAATCCTGGTTAACTGTGGGGGATAAGAGCTCAAATTTCTTCCATCAAGCTGTAAAGATACGCAATTCAAAAAGGGCCATCAGGAAGCTTGTAAAAGATACAGGGGAGGAAATATACCAGACAGAACAGATTGTTGAGGAAGTGATTGGTTTCTACAAGAAGCTATTGGGAGAGGTTAATGTTGATATCAATCCAAGTGATGAGGAGGTGAAGAGGCTTGTTCAAAGACAAATCCCTCAGGTTGAATGTGAGGCACTCATTCAGGACATTACTGGTGAAGAAATAAAGGCAGTGGTGTTTAGCATGAACATACAGAAGGCCCCAGGGCCAGATGGGTTTTCTGCAGGGTTTTTTAAGAGGGCTTGGGGAATTATTGGTGAGGATGTGATCAAGGGGATCCTCTTTTTCTTCAACACGGGTACCCTCCCTAGTGATGTTAACTCTACTACTGTTTCTTTGCTTCCAAAAATTCCTAATGCAGATACCTTAAAAAACTTTAGGCCTATTTCATGTATAAACCTTTTATACAAAGTCATTGCTAAGGTCATGGCAAATAGAATTAAGGGGATTATACCTTTGATAATTAGTACTTCCCAGTCCGCATTCATTAAGGGGAGGAATATCATGGACAATATACTGATGGCTCAAGAGCCGGTGAGTGGGTATAATAGGCGATTACTTTCATCTCGATGTGCAATTAAAGTTGATATAATGAAGGCATTCGACTTTGTGAGTTGGAGATACCTGTTTTTCATGATGAATGCCATGGGATTCCCTGCTACATTTTTGAAGTGGATTAGAAGTTGTTTGCAAATAGCCCACTACAGCATCAATGTTAATGGAAGCCTTTGTGGGTTCTTTAGAGCCAGGAAAAATGTGCGTCAGGGTGATCCATTGTCACCTTACCTTTTTACCATTGCAATGGAGGGGTTGTCTTCAATTTTAACTGAGGCAGGCCAGTCAGGGGTTCTCCCATTCCATATGCAATGTAAGAGAGTAGCATTGAACCACTTGTGCTTTGCTGATGATTTGCTGATTTTCACTAAGGGGTCTGCTCAGGCAATAATGCAGGTTAAAACGATTCTGCAGCGTTTCTATCTGATCTCAGGGCTTAACAGTAATCCTGCCAAGTGTGAAATCTATTTTGGTGGGGATTCAATTCTCTACAAGCACAATGCTCTGGCTCTTTCAGGGTTTCAGGAAGGGAAACTGCCAGTCCGTTACCTGGTTTGCCACTGCTGTCTGGCAAATTATCTTCAGTGGAAATTGATAGTCTGGTGGAAAAAATTACTAAAAGGATCAAGTCTTGGCAGGCCAAGAAGCTCTCATATGCAGGAAGATTGCAACTGCTTAACTCTGTACTCCCGGGGGTGGTTCAATTCTGGATGCAGATGTTCATTTTACCCAAGCAAGCTCTCAAGAGAATACAAATAGTTTGTTCTCAATTTCTCTAGCATGGACTGGAAGAAGGAAAGGCAAAAGTGGGGTGGGAGCAGGTAGCACTCCCTAAGCGGGAAGGGGGACTAGGGGTCAAAGATTTGGTTGCTTGGAATCAGGCTTGCACTATAAGAATGCTCTGGTTGTTTTTGATGAATTCAGGGGAGTTATGGGTGGCCTGGATGAAGGAATATAAATGTAGGCAATGTGATCTGTGGTCATTAAGAGTGCAATACAGTAGCTCCTGGGCTTGGAGAAGACTTCTCAAGCTTAGGACTGTGGTTTTCCCCTGGATACAAATGCATAATGATATAGTCTATTGGGATTCAAAAGAGATGGATACTTACTCAATCCGTCGAGTCTGGGAAACTTTGAGGAGCAAGGCTCCTAGAGTCGTGTGGTACAAGTTGGTATGGAATAGTAACTGCCCTCCTCGTTACAGCATGCTTGCCTGACTAATAATGAAGAATGCAATAGTCACAAGGGATAAACTACTAAAATGGGGAAAGATCAGGACAGCAGACTGTCTGCTCTGTGGCTAAGGAGTGGAGAGCAGAAATCATCTCTTTACTCAATGCACTTTTGCAAGGGATCTTGCTGCTGAGATAAGGTGTAACCTACTGCTACATCCTGATTGGGATACTATGATACACTCTCTGACTTCTGAAGGATCAGCAAGAACAGGGGAATGGCAAGCTCTCGTTTGGTGTCTCTGAGTGGCGTTTATTTGGAAGGAGAGGTGCGGGGTAGTCCATGGCGCTTCAAGTCGCACACCAAGGCAAGTTGCAGGTCTAATCAAGCAGGAATTAACGCTCCTCACATATGGGAATAGAGGGATCCGAGATACTTTAGTTGGGTTGGGATACTTATAGTTTTGTGTTTTGCGGTTTGTTCCTTTGTCGTAGTACAGAGTGCAGATAGGTTGTGAGGTATTTTTGCCAGTTGGAGACTTTGGGATGATTATCCCGCTTTCGTTGTATTGGTTTCTTGCAGAAATAAAGCGAATGATTCAACGAAGAAAAAAAACATTTATCCTTTCATTATATCTAAGATTCAATTTTTTTTATGAACCTGGAGGGCTTATTAGAATCCCTTCTATCTTTCCTATCATCTCTTATGAAACTCGTTTTGCTATATCCTTTAAATGTCCTCTTTTTAGGAGGATATCTTTGATGTTTGTTATTCCTAGGTGCTTGTTCTGATTCATTAGAACATTCATCCCTGCCAGGAACATATTTATTTGGAGACATCAACTCTTGTTAAGATAAGGTGGCCTCTTGGTTTCCTGTCTAACTTGGAGTTCGGTACATGCCTTCCTCATGGCATCACATACTGCTTCTATTCTTTCTCCTAATCCATCAAAAAATTGATTTTTGTTGAGGAGGAGATCAAAATATCTTTTGGCTACTTTTGGCCAAGGATTAGGTAGCTTAGCAAAGAACAACTTATTCATGTATTCTTGAGACACTAAGTTTAGATTGTAAAATTATTTTTGAAATTCACAAACGTAGTTCTCAAAATAACACATGTCGCAAATTTGAAGTTTCATGAGGGCCATTATAAATTGATCATTTTTCAAAGTTTTAGTTGATAGATTAAATATTCCAAATTCTATTTCAAGCCATCAGGTCCTATTGCCAAAATGGCTTCAAGTAAAGCTTCTTTAGCAATTTTATCATTAATTGCAGTATCAGATGCTCGTATATTCCAAAAATTTTGGGCATTTTCTACCATGGTGACTTTATAGAACTCATAGGTTTGATTCGGCATAAAGTTGCATGCTTTAGCCGTTATCATAATGATTGTAATCAACTCATTTATCCTTTCAGGTACATGCTTTTCAAAATCAATATGAAGAAAAACACTTGAACTTATGAACGGTCTTAAAAGATTATCTTGTGAAGGAAATCCTCCTTAGTCGTATGAGGATAATTCGGTTTGAATCCATTCCTCTTAGTGGTAACAAGTTCATTAAACGTTCGATCATTAATTTCAATCAAAGATTCTTCCATTAAACTCATAGATTTTTGAAGATTGTTCGCTAAGTGGCCAGTACTAGCATAAGCCATTCTCTTAGCATTGTCCAATATGTATTGGACCATTTTTCTTGCCGAAATTTAAAAACATCTTATTCTGAAACCTTTTGTTTTAATTTACTTTTATTTTCAATTGCATCTAGTCGTTGATTTAGGATGACTTCAACTTTATCTCTTACCCACTGTGATACGAGCACGAAACCGACACCCGTAGTTATCAAAGTCGCGCAACCACAATCTTTTTAGAGTTTTTTGAACTTTTTCCAACAACACCAAAAACTAAAAGGATAATGCGGAATTGATGTGCAATCCCACACTTGGAAGATGACTCTATCAATATAAGGGTAGAGCTCCACCATAATCAAGATTGATGCTTGATTGATACAGAGATACTCTCAACGCGATTGGAGTCCACCGATGAAGAGAGCAAAATTCACAGCCAACGTTCAATGAACAAAAGGGTATTTCATTTAATCAAAGTTTAAAGTGTGCCCAAAATTTGTGTTTACAACCCTTTAAATAGGTCTTGAAAATAAAATTAATAAAAAACTCAAAAATAAAAAAGAACCTAAACAAAAAGGGTAAATTCACTCGTCATCCCCGATCCTCAGTCTAAGATCCCCGGTTGGGGATTTTTTCCAACTGGTCGAGGTCATTCTATATATAATCCCTGGTCTCCCTCTTGATTCCCCATTCGGGGAATTTAGCTATATTCCGACCGGGGGAAGATTCACATCAGTCCCTCCCCGTTGAAGAAGCTTTGCCCTCAAAACTTGAGTAAAACACAACGCATCATTCTCCCATTTGAAATCAAGCAATCCACAAAGCTCTCGATCCAAACAAGCATTCCAGCCTGGCTTCCAAACAAAATTCCTTTGAATCCTCCATTCGGGTTCACTATCTTTTTATCTCTTCCTTTTGTACTTCCACTGACAGAAAAGAAAATCATCCACAGAAAAGATGAAAGTTTTGTCCTTGCTCCTCTCCAGAAGAGCCTCGAACCCAATCTGCACGCTCAACAGTTGTCGGTCCTTGTTTTGCAGAGACAACCCTCAAATGTTGTGGGCCTCTACAAGAAAAATCATCATCACTTCAACTTTGAGGACAAACCTTCTTCAACAGGGAGAGACTGATGTGACCCCAAGGGTTGGCGAAGGAAGACCCCGCCAGCAGGGAAAGAATCCCCGACCGGGGAATGGAAAAGGAGGTCGGGAATTTGGTCAGTGGCACCCCCAATCAGTGGGAAATAATCACTGACCGGGGATTGAGATCGAGGATCGGGTCTGACAAGTTTAATTACCTTTTGTGTTCGGATTCATTTTCCTTTTCGGTATTTTATTAGTTTATTTTCCTTAACTTTTTCGTTAGACTTTGTTGAATAAGAATTTTACACCGAGTTGTTTTTCCCATGTAGCATGCGTGCTTATGGTGGATTTCCCAACTAGTGCAAGATCCTTGTTTGAGCCTTTCTGCCAAAGGTTCCAAAAGAGCTTTGCAAGATTCTTATCAATCGAGCAATCACACTTGATTGTTGTGAGTATCTATCTTTACCAATTAACCCTCCTATACTGGTGTAAGGCTGTTCGATTTGTTTCTCCACATATCAGTGTTCAAGAAGACGCTAGGCGTTATCTAGGCGAGGAGGCACCGCCCAGCGCCCAGGCCGATTAGTCGTTGCCTAGGCGAGATTAAACGTTGAAAAAAATATGATAGATAAGCCACATTTCACAAAAACCCAAGTCGCGATATCATTATTCATCCATTCATATAGTCATACAACCCTTTTTCACAATCCCAAACATCCCAAGTCCCCAACCATGAGGAGGGATCTCGCTGCTCGAATGATGAGGGGGAGCGGCTGGTCGAATGGAAATGGGAAATAGAATAGGGTTTGGGATTTCCACAAAAAGGCTACACTTTCCCCCTTTATTAGCTGTTTTGGGCGTCACCCTCTAGACTGAAAACACGCCTCCGAGCACCTAGGCACCGATTAGGTGTTTTCTATGGAGATTAATCGTTTAGCACGCCCAAATCAATCGCCCAGGGCTGGACGAGGCGATTTCCTCCTGCCTAGCTATTAATCGCGCCTAGGCGAGAGATTAATCGCGTCTTCTTGAACACTGCCACATATCCCTTTATTTGTTTCATAATAAAAAATAGCAAACAAAAAACATAACCTTCTGCTAAATCTCCGAAAATCCTTCACTTTCTTGCTACAGTCTCTAATCCTTAACAGTGATGTCAATTAGTTTAGCTTTAACAGCTACTTACTCTATTCGTAAGTAAAAGGATTTCATAAGCCCACCGCACATTTAGTTAGCCGTTAACAGCCACTTGGCAAGGACATGATTGAATATTCATAACAGTATCACCAGTTGGTTGGATGCCAAGAGACTTCATTGCTAAATTATGGAAGTAGGCATCAGTAAGCTTTACCATTAACACTAATAGTAATAGCAGTAAGAAGGGTTCGAACCAATCAAGTACAAACCAAGAGATGCTAACATCTGATGACAAAAAGATTAGTTCAGAAAGCAAGTGCTAGAGTAAGAAATAAGCTTTCCAAACACATTCATTCCCATGTCACCAAAACACAACTCTTCAACCTTAGCTCTTCACCACGTTGTTCTCCAATTCCCTCCTCAGCTGCAGTGAGAAGTCATCATTGACATCATCGTCGTCCCAGTCATCTTCCCATTGCTGTGTCGCCTCTTTTACTTCCACCTTGTTATCCCAGTCTGGTTGTTTGATTAAACAAAGTAGTTAGAAAGGGCAACATATCAGTGCCATTTGAAGATACAAACAGCGGTATTCCTCTTACAGCGAGAACCAAGACAACAATACCAATACAAAGATCAAATCGAGAATCAATCAGTTCTACTGAGATACATCAAGACCTAAGAAACGAGATCCCAATTGCATCCCAAAAACTGGAGCAAGAGCAAGATAGAAGAGCCAACAGCAATAACAACTGGAGCAAGCAGGGCTACATGAATTGCTCACATGCTTTCTTATAAACAGCATGAAGCTGATAAGCTTCTCGCTCCTGATTGCATAATCAACTCGAAAGCAAAGAACACGAGATGTGTACATCGTGCATCCCATACTAACAGAATTATGCTTCATATGTCAAATACAGCATCCAGCAAGATTCAACAATGTACTTCTAGTCAAGCACACTACCCAGAAAGCATCTCACCCTAGACCCCCATTCTGCTGAACCATGTTTGAAATGTTATTATCCGAGAGTGTGAGAAGACAGTGGACACTCATCCTACACTACTCGTCATAATTGGTTACTGAAGTTCTCCTCCCTAATCCCGAAATCTGTCGAACCTCAGTTCCATTACCATCATTCCGAACCCCATCCTGTTGAACTTAGGGTTTCAGGATCTGCTATTTTCAACTAATTCTACAGTCAACATTTTTCTAAATCTACAAACTGAGGAATTAATAAAAGTAAATTGCACCTTGATTGATGTCGAACTCCTCGAATTCATCATCGTCCTCAAAGAGGTCCATCTTTACGTCCTCGGTCGTTGGTTTATGCTCAGCAGCCATTCCGGGGGAAAAACTCGAAAGAAACTGCAAATTGCACAATCAATATAGAGCTGAAAACAATACGGAGTTGTCTTAATTTCTTCGATGCCCAAGAAAGGAATGAATTCCACACGAGCCACCGAGTCGTACCTGCACAGGGATCTGCAAACAGAGAGATAGATTTCGTGTTCCTTCGGTTTACTTCGTATTGGAGAGAGATCGAGAGCTTTCGCTTGACAGCCGACGGGAAGGCTATTTATAATATTTTCAGGACGGAGGAAGGAAATAGATTATGAAGCGGAAATCAACCATTCCATAATGCTAATTGGACTGGGCCATCATTCGGGCCTTAGCATGATCAAATTTCTTTCTTTCCTAGTGATAAAGAAATGCCTATTGATTAAAAAAATAATGTCTATTTTTATCCAAATTTTTTTTAGATTTTTTTATATTATCCAAACCTATTAAAATGCTATTAATTAGCCAAATCTTTCGTAATGCATCAAAATATTAGTCATTTTTACGTTATCGTTAATAATTTTGTAACTTTTTTCTTAGTTAAAATACTAAAATTTTGCAATATTGATCTTCATGTGTCTCTTCCAAGTCAGTATCATGTTGTCAAGTCAATATTACTAACAAAATTGCTAACCGAAAGTTAACATTTTGCTAATTCTTAGTATATCGATAGGTTAGGATAATATAAAAGAATCTGAAAAAGATTTTGATAAAAAATAGACATTGGCCAAAAAAAATGTGGAGAGCAAGCGACTCTCCAGTTTCCTTTCTTGATGGTTATTCCGATGAAGACGCCGCCGTTTCCTTGGCGCTCGATGCATGGGTACCACGATCTCCCTCATCGTGGCTACTTAGACAGCCGAGGGTATCCCCTCATATATGGTTTATATTAAGATCAGTTCTTTCGGGCTTTGCAAGTTACAGTTTATTGTGCAGATTGCTGTGTTCTCCGTAACCGGTAATCTTATGTTTCGCTTACTTCTCATCTGTTTCTGGAATTCTCTGTGTGTGCTTCTCATCTGGTTTTTTAATTGGTTCTCAGTACGTCCGATTCAGCGTCTTGTTTCAAGTATGGATCCCATGGATATTGATCAGGTGGTGGCTTTCGAGGATGATGATGTTGACATCGGTCCAGAACAGGCAAAAATCTCCTTGGTTGGACGTTTGTTTTCTCCTCAGTCGGTGGCTCGGCCGGTGTTGGAGAATGTTGCTAATGGGATGTGGGGGTCGGTGAATAACCACATCATTGTGCATGAGGCGGAGATGGGCTGATGGCGCTTTATCATCACTGATGCTACTACTCGGACTCGGATCCTCCGGCTTTCTCCATGGACGGTGAAGGATTTGTGCTGCATTTACTCTCATGGCAACCAAATTTGGATGGACTCGTTGGGGAGCTGCCTCGGCTACCATTTGTGGTTTATTTCATGGATATCCTTCCTCAGTTCTGCACCTTGAGCCTTGGGCGTCGTCTTGCTAATAACTTGGATGGGAGACTTGAAAACCGCCAATTGGGAATATATACTGATCATCCTGGGTAGTCAGATCCCTTCATTAAGGCGCGCATTTTCATTGATGCTAACGCTCCGCTCCGATCTAGGCTGTTTGCGCAAAATGACTACCGGGGAGGGTTCTAGACCCGACTGGACTATGAGTACTTGTCGTTGTTTTGTTTCAATTGTGGTAGACTCGGTCATGGAAATGCAACATGTTCGTTCCCTCCACCTCCACCGGGATCAGAGATTTACAACAGTTCAATGTCGGTCGTCCGCATGGTATTATGCTTGATGAAGTATATTTTCTGTCGGTCGGTCATCTCGCAGTGCCACGACGAGGGCGTGGTCGCTTCACTTGGGTTCATCCTCAGAACTGTGGGGGATATGCTTCCCACAATCACCCTGTTCAGGAAGAGAAATCAGTGGATGTCGATCCATGGCAGCATCAGACAGTCTTGGGATTAACGGCTGGGGAGCCAGCTGGTATGAGTTCGGTACCTCAACCTGCTTCTGGTGGGTCTCGTCTGTCTGGAAGGGGTCGGGTTCCTGCACAATGCCAGGCTCGTGTGGTGCTACCGCCCATTCGTGTGTCAGAGATATCTTCAACTCCCACTCGTTCAATGATTTCTGATGCATCTGATAAAGGGAAAGGCAAGGCTAAGGTTCAGGAGGTGGATTCAGATGAAGAGGAATTTCCGCTGGGAGAGTCCTCTGCTCCACCTCCTCGGCCTGGGTTCCATATGTTCTTGACTGATGCGGAGATGGAGGTTGACTGTTCCAAGCGGACTGCTTCGGAAAGGGAGGCAGAGGATCAAGGTGCTAGTAATGTGGTGGATGCTCTGGAGTTTGAACCAGCAGCGAAGAGACATCATGGGGAGGAAGATTCAGGTGACATTCTGGAAACTGTGGTGGCAGCCAACAATGAATGGCCCCACCCTGCTGAATGAGCTGTTTAGCATGGAATTGTCGAGGCTTAGGTCCGGCCTTGACGGTTCAAGCCTTAGAAGGACTGGTTCGTGTGCATAATCCTTGTGTTTTATTTCTTTCTGAAACTCGTAATGATCGTAGCTATGTTCGTGATATTATTATGTCTCTTGGTTTTGTTGATTGTCGGATTGTGGATCCTATAGGAACTTCAGGGGGCCTTGTTGCTGCTTGGAGTTCTGATGTGTCTATTACTTTCTTATGTAAAGACAATTTCTATATTTCTTTGCAATTAAGTATGAATGGAGTGGTGTATGTGCTGGTTTTTGTGTACTTGTCGTGTGAAGCAGCAGTTCGAAGGCAACAGTTTGCCTATTTGTCTCGATATTGCTCTCTTTTGGATGTCCCATTCATGGTGGTAGGTGACTTCAATGAACTTCTTCATTCACATGAAAAACAGGGGGGCCGAGAGTTTGATCTTCATCGTGCTCTCCCATTCCGGAATTTTGTTGATGATTTAGGACTCATGGACATTGGTTTTAAGGGATCTCGGTTTACTTGGTCGAACCGTCATGCTGATCATAATATAATCCACAGCAGGCTAGACCGATATTTGTTTTCATTGTCTTGGATTAATCATTGGTCGAGAGGTGAAGTTCAACATTTGGCAGATCATGGGAGTGATCATCGACCCATCTTATACACTTGGAATGGTGAGAATCATTTTACAAAACACGTTTTTATGTTTGATGCTCGTTGGGGTACTAATGATGAGGCTCTCGCCATTGTTTCTGAGGTTTGGTCTTCGGCTGTTCGCGGCTCTCCTTGCTTTCAGTTATGGTCTTGGATGAAAAAGGCTAGACATAGATTATTTCAATGGGCACGACTCGGTACTACCAATTCAGCCCGTCTTATCAAGGAATTGCGTGCTAATGCCACTTCTATTAGAAATTCTTACCCGGTAGACTGGGAAGCCTTGAATCATGTTGAATCTGAGTTGGCTTCGGCATGGGCTGCGGAGGAGCTATTTTGGAAACAAAGGTCTCGGGTATCTTGGTTAAAGGTGGGTGATCATAACTCCAACTATTTTCATACGGTTACTCGATTACGTCGGCGAAGGAATCAGATTCATGGGATCTATAATGCAGCAGGCGAATGGGTGACTACCCCATCAGCAATTGAACAGGTTGCAGTGGATTATTACAAGGGTCTTTTCTTTTCGGAGGCCAATAGTTGTGATTTTGCCCAGCAGGTAGAAGCAAGGGTGAATTTGTTGCCCATTCAACCTTTGGTCACTCCTATGATGAACCAATGTCTAGTGGTTGCTCTTTCTACGGACGAGATAAAGAATACCATTTTTCATATGGGAGAATTTAAGACTGCCGGTTCTGATGGTTTCACAGGAAGTTTTTTTAAGGCATTTTGGCCAATTGTTGGAGATAGTGTGATTCGTGCTATTACTTCTTTCTTTTAGTCTGGGAAATTGTTACGAAATATGAATCATACTTGGCTTACTCTTATTCCTAAGGTGGCAAGGGTGGAGCATGTTTCTCAGCTACGTCCAATAAGCCTGTGTCAATTTTTGTACAAAGTCATCACCAAAACTATGGCTTCTAGATTAGGCTCTATCTTGCCTCATCTAATTTCCTCTGAAAATACGATTCTCCCACTCTTGGCTCGAAATTGGCTCAAAAACCAGAATTTCCCGACCCACACGGGCAGGCCACAAGGCCGTGTGACTCACCCACTTGGCCGTGCGGCTCAAAACGCAGCGTATGGTTTAGTTCGATCTTCAGGCTTCTCACACGGCCAGGGTGCACGGCCGTGTGGATTTCATGGGTTGCCCGTGTTTGGCCTCGGCAAAAATCACACGGCCAGGGTTCTCATTGGCACGGCCGTGTGGAAACCACTTGTGCCCGTGTTCGCTCTCGCACAATCCCACACGGCCTGGCTTGTCCTTTGCACGGCTGTGTGATGCCACGGTCTGCCCGTGCAGCTTCCTTGAAACCTCGCCATTCGTCCGATCTTCGTCCAATCGACCCCAGACTCGCTCCCAAGCCTCCATTCACGTACTAGGACCTGAAATATCACAAACAAGCACAACCTAGCGTGAAACCGGCCTAAAACACGAGAATCAACACCTCAAACGGTGTAAGAACGAGGGTAAAAACATATGTAAATGACAGTCTATCAAACTCCCCCACACTTAACCGTTTGCTTGTCCCCAAGCAAACCAAGTCAGACACCAGGTAAGCTTACAAATCTCAATCAACCAACATTGGGGACAAGTCATAAAGGCACAGAACACGTGAATCGTACTGGTTTTCAAACATCAATACATGAACAACCTCAAAAGCAACCTGGACAACCACCACAAAGGACATTCGAGTGCAGCAAAATCGAGTAAAGGAAGAGTCTCCCTTCTGTTCACCAGCCAACCTAGACTTGACTCAACCACTTACTCAAAACAGTCAACTCATGCATCCAACTCAAAACATCAGAACAGAGATCAAGCAATCTAGGTCCTCACCGGGGTACAAGAGTAAAAAGAATATGAAAATGAATCACTCACTCTCGACCAGTGGGGTCAGGACAATTTAATGCGAAAAATGCTCATGCTATTTCTCTCAATCCCTAGCATCTCTTTACCATGATGGCAGCCTCTAAACGCTAGAGTTCACATATAGGATGTCATCACTAACTAATCAGGAGGTCTTAGACACAGGTTCAAATGACTGGCTAGGGTCTTGGACATGGGGAAAAGGCCTTTTAAGTGGTGGAAGTATTCATAGCACAAGGTTCCACATTCCCAAACACACAATCACAGTCAAACAAACCGGTATTTTCTTTTTGCTATTCTGCATTACTCAATATCTCAAGAGCACAAGAGCGAAGGAGGTATA